AACCAGCAGCTTCATGACATTGATATCTCCTAAATTTAATATTTATTTTATTTATCTATTTTATTTTTAAACTGACCATGTCTGTTAACCGGCATGAATTCCGTAATTATTATTTTCAAAATTAATCGGAATCTTACATAAATAATAGGATTTTCAAAGATAGATGATTAATTGAACGAATCATTAAGTAAGAATTTACTTTGCAATTGACAATATTTTCGTAGACACTAAATCATTCATAACATTCCAATAGCTAACATGAATAAATTTATGAATCACAAAATATGAGTTTATACGTGTATAGAATTAATAGGGGAGTTTTGTTAATGATTCTTATGACTGAAAGTTAATGCTTGTGGTTTCATCCAAGTCCATATGTTTTATTAATTAACCTCCACCTCTCTATTAGGCTACATATATCTTACAGTTTAGAACGGGTCTGTATAAACAATTTTTATCTAAAAGATTATAAATCTCATATATAATTTAAGACTGTTTTAGATGATAGATTAGATGTTTTGAACTATTTAGTATGAACATAGGAAAATATAACTCAATAATTAATATCGAGTGAGAATACACTTGAAAGGGAAGCTCAGGACAAGGTAGGTTGAAGAAGATGTTGAAAAGAAAAATACTGTGGAAGATTCAGTACTGTCCAGTTCAGATTAGCTTCCAATGAACTGAACTCAATTCGAATCAACAGTATATCTAAAATGTTAATTTGTCACTTAACATATTTTCGACACATACCATGTATACGTTAGCTAGTAGGGGTCTCAAAAGACTAGTCGTAGCAAAGCCATCAACTTCAAACGTGAAATGAACTTTTTTCAGTACATAATAAAATTAGTTCTCTCACGAGTGTTAGCCGAATAGCAGAAGGAGGGTAATTACTCAATATATAGTCACAAAGAAAATAAACACTTCTGATCAAAGGTACAGTGATAAAAAGGGAGTTTACATCAAAATAATGCACAGTATTTTCTTTAATTTTGATATCATTATGAATATCAATTAGTTCAAATGTATCTTTTAGAGAAAACTTACACATTTTATTGCGGATTGGGTTGAGTAATTTAGTTAACCATTTCGTTAGTTTAGGAGTAGGTGACTTGCACGTAAATAATATCGGTCGTATTGTATTATTAGGTCTATGAATTCTAGGTATTCCACATTAATTCATGATCTCAGAGCTGGTGGGTTCTACTATAATGAGTTACCCATTATTATTAACATTCATTTTAAGGAGCTTCATTATACTGAAGTTAACTCTGGATTATAATTTTCTAACTTCATAATTAGATAAAACATCGGTCAAGAACATTCTTTCATCATTAAGATTGAATTACATCTTTTTACAACTAAGCAAGAACCCTTTTCGCTTTTGAGAACCACAATATCTAGTCTTTTATAAAGGATCTTTAAGGCATTGAAATGTTTGGATGTTAAGATATTCCTATGTTTTATTTGAGAACCGTGAAATCGGTGTGCAATATCAACCAATTTCGCTTATCTGGAGTGGTTGGAACAAAAGGTTTCGGTTGATCAAATAGATTTTCGAACTGTGGATCGAAGGAGAAATCAGAAATTTCGGCATTAGGCATAGAAAAGTTACATCCGAGAGATAGAGCTTTTTGTTATTAAATACAGAAAGTTCAACAAATAACTTTGTTATATACTTATCTGGGTTAAATTGAATTGAATTTCCCTAGTTACCATTAATAATAGACTCATTCAACTCTTATTTAGTAATATCTTTTGTTTTTTGCAACCACTGAAATACAAAAGTTCATAAATTTAATTAGACGATTATACACATGATGCATGAATATGAAAATTCAATTAGTTTTTTTTTATCATTTCATTACAATTTTTCCATATGAGATTTCGTGAAATGAACAAGATTAAGAATATTTGGAATTAATTTGTCAGATCGTAAAGATTTATAAAAGTGTCTGGGAATATGCATGTAGCCATAGATGATAAATATATAAATCCTTGATTCTGATTGTCTCGTCTATATGCTATAGTTTGATCTAATTATGTTGACAGTCACTAGAGTACATAACAATATTACATTTCTAATCAATAAACCGGGAAAGATTTATGATTTTGATGAATTCCAATGAGTCTCATCAACTGTATCTTTCTCATCACCTTTACCTTATTATCAAGCAGTTAGTAGGTGAAGATGTACCGAATCTCAAATGCTCTCTAGCAATAATCAAATCCGTCCTTCAAACTTACAGCTTAGTCACTGGATTGATAATCTTTTTATCATGGTACATATCTTTCAATCTTAAATGGTTAGTAGCAATAGAAGAGAAACACTGGACCTAGTTGATAAGACTCATTAATAAGGGATATATGCACTACCTTGTAAACAAATTAATCTTCCCAGAGAGTTTCACTACATGTCATATACTGTTTTAATCCAAAATATTACTATTGAACGTGTTGGCTGTAACAGATCTCTTTCGTAAACTGATTGCTTCAAATAATAAGTTCATTAGTGCAATCACCAATCAACTCTTTGTAATAAAAATTGATAATCAACAATTTTCAGATGACTAATAATTCTGATCGGCTTTATATTTAATAAGTTTATGAATAACCTACAAGGCGAATACTTAACGACCAGTAACATTATGATGATTTATCTTATCAGGTGATTTCCTTTCATTGGATGGACCGCATCAATAAATCTGACTTGTGAAATATTATTACTTGCTCGTGGTAATCATTTAAATTTCGAAAAGTAGTTGCACCTTTTATACAAATGCATCTCCGTTATAAACGTTGAGAGCTAATAAAGATTTATAATTCGCCGTGAAAAGGATTGATCTCCGCTATTATATATAGATGATGATCTGACGACCTCCATATAGCCTTTGTCATATGTTTTAGCATATATAGATATAAAATAACAGTGAAATCAAGTATTTACTTCCTGTTCTTACTGGGACCCGTCAAGCGAATGTAATGATGTCCTAGAATGAGTAAAACACAAGACCTCTAGCCCAATATGTGATGCTTTGATGCTTGAAGTGAAAGCTACTTGGTTCAAGTCTCTGTGTACACTGCGGTGTTGGTACACTTATCTAGCTAGTCTCTCATCCTGTGTCCCATTCCTAGTTATTTACTCGAAATACCAAAATTAAAAATTATACAAAGAGGGATTCGCTTTCTAATCATCGATTTATATGCTTTTATATGAATTCAGTCACACTGGAAGTAGCTCAAAAGTTGCATGTCTGAAAGCAATATTGGTCATATGATTTACAGTAACAGAAACAAGATCTTGTTTATCAAAGCAGTTCTAACAAGTAAGATAACTCTAGACATTCGGTTTTTTCACATGATCAGCAGTAGTTTCCAGCTTTAAATTATTTTGTCAGAAATGATTAGGCCGGAGTGATGGTTGTGGACTATAGGAATATAAGTTTTTATTCGTTTAAATAATTCTTTTATATTTATTCTATTTCTATATTTGTTCTTTGAAAATCTTTCTTTTTTTTGCTTTTCGCAGATACTTGCACGATTGTAAAAATAAATTCTAAGTAATTTAAAAACTTAAACGGTAATACAGATGCATCCTAAATTGATTGCCATTTCACGTAAAATAATTAAGCAGATTTAGTTATGTAGTACATTCATAAATTACATTTCAGATAGCTTTGTAACATATGTATTCACTGTATTTTTCTTGTTGAAAAAACTATCCGAGATGTTATTAAGACACACATGATTAGATTGACTTGCAGGCATCCTTATGCCTCCTTATGCATCCTTATGCATCCTTATGCAAGTTATCACTTTTATGTGTATAATTTCAGTATATTACATAGACACTTATCCTTTTTTACTTTATGGTTGAATTTTTATAGACTAAGACAATTTAATTTATTAGGGTATTGCAGAGTTTGTTGAAACTAAAGTTTTACATTACAGATAATTTGGAACTACTCAATCTATTGGAAAACAAGAGATATTGAGCAACTGTTATCTCCGAGTATGAGACGCCTTATCAATGTGTATCCACAACCCTACAGGTGATCAGATTCAAACCTCGAATCTTGAAGCAAGCTCTCTGTATTAAAACCACTGAGTTGAGATCTAATAATTTGCACTTTAAGCTTTAATTATTTTATGAAATTGAACGACGTTCACTCGTTGCTAATGACGATATTTGTCTCATTCTTAACATCATAGAAGATCAGTAGCCATATATTTTCACTAGAACTCCAGGAATCATAGCTTGAAATTAATTACTAATAAGCATGTTATGTTTCTTACTAATATACACGACATTGTGGAAAATGTTGAATTTTGAGTTTCACATCATGAATGAACATTGACTAAACAACTACTGGAAACCAGTAGGTATTGATAAATTATTTAATACAACTACATTTATGAAGATTGATTCTGTTACCGAATGAATTCCACTAGGAATTTATTAAAAATATTGTTAAGTGTAACGTATAAATCTTATCCAGTTTATGAAGTTATAATTATTCTTGCTGTTGTTATTTCTACTAATTCTCATTAATATGCTACAAGGTATGTGTACATTAATTTCAAACGATTATTATTGTTTCTAGATTGTAATAAACTGAAACGAAATCAAAAAATAAATGAATTTATCTTATTCTATTTCGTTTATTGTTCATACTCTTTGGGAATAGGACGGATTATTTGTTAAACACTGTTTGATCTCCAACAGTTCTTTAATAGTATTCCCGTTCATAATAACAACTGATATACTCCACAAATCAAAATAATGCTTTTAGAATCCATGAACTAAAGTTGAGTTACAGCATTCTAAATAGTATCAGCTAAAGCATTCAACATAACATTAAACTCTTTCAGTCATATTGACTTATCGATCTGTGATACTTAGAAGTATATGAATCAAGAATTAAAGAACTGCACCAACGAATGTATTGTATTTAGAATTCGAAATCAAGCATTTCACAACAACAAGAAGTTACTAGTTCATTCAAACACCACATCCGCCACAGCTTAAATTGGAATGTATATGTCTGTAATCAATCGTACGTCTTCTTCTCAAATTCATCCTGTATCTGTCCGACAGTGTATTGGATAAAGGCTCTGTATTATCTAGAATGCTCTCATTAGTATTAGAATTAACAACCGAAGTTGGAACAGACTCACCTGGTTCTTGGAATTGTATTTGATCAACATGTCGATTGTGTGTACTTAAGTCATTGATATCTAGAAGTCGCACCATAGATTTCCCGACATTCTTCAGAACGATCCCCGTGGATGGTCGAAGATCATTGCCACGATAATATGTAACTTCTGCAGACTCCAAACATCTCATATTCGACCGAAGAATTCTTCCTTTTAATAGTTTTGATGGAGTCTCTTTCGTCACTGAATGTCTGGCATTTCTATATTGCAGTAGAAAGGTATCTACTCCCCTCTCCAGCTCATTAAATGTTGAGGCGGCAATAGAATCAATAGCAGTTTTCAACGTCCTGACAAAATTTTCTGCCTGACCATTAGAACAAGGATGTCTGGGAGCAGTAAACAGATGTTTGCACCCTATACCATTTAACCAGGTAGTAACTGCATCTGCAGCAAAATGAGAGCCGTTATCAGTCACTAACACCATTGGAACCCCTTCTCGACTAAACACCTTTCTTAATGCTTGAATTGTGAAGTCAGAATTTGGTGAAGTTGTGAAAAAAACTTCAGGCCACTTTGAAAAAGAATCAATGACTACAAGTGCATAGTATTTGCCAAGAAACGGGCCACAATAGTCTGCATGAATTCTCTGCCAGGCTTCCGACGATACTGGCCATGGAGTCCACTTCGAATGCTGATTTTTCAGCTTATGACACTTTACACAATTGTTTGCTGTACGACAAATATCTGCATTTATCTCTGGCCACCAACACGTAAGCCTCGCCAAGGACTTCATTTTCTCAACACCTAAATGTCCACTATGAAGATCTTCCAGGACAGCTTTACGCAATGAGGGAGGAATAACAACCCGATCATTTAAGCACAAAATACCATCAGGAGTAGTGGATAGCTCATCTCGCTTTGAAAAATAGATAGGGAATCTGCGTTTCAGATTAGCATTCCAACCTTTCCGTATAGCATGAATTATACATCCAAAGTTTCTACGAGTTTCTCTAATGAGATCTGGACGTTTCACTGGTAAAGGTTGCACCAACAAACAGTCTGAAGTATTAACAGGTTTATCTTGTAATGACTGTCGAGAAATGTAGTCAACATGTTGAATTTGTTTGGCACTCCTGTGCTGAACCGTATAGTCGTAGGCACTCAAAGCAATACTCCATCGTTGAACCATAGCAGCTGAGGCACGTGCTAAGGATTTTTCAGGATGATAAATAAACTGCAAAGCCTCATGATCAGTAACAATAGTAAATTTCTTTCCGAATAAATATTTATGAAGTCTTTTAACAGCCCAAAACACAGCTAATGCCTCTCGCTGAGTCTGTGAATAGCCTTGTTCAGTAACAGTAAGTTTGCGTGAAACACAAATAACTGGTCTACCTTCCTGTTCCAAAACTGCACCAATACCCACAGGTGATGCATCAGTGATAAGCACAGACTGTACACTAGGGGAGTAAGTTCGAAGAACAGCATCACTTTGAAGAAACTTTAGTAGACTACGTAAGCACGACTCTTGTTCCTCACCCCATTTGAATGAATTGGATGTCAAAATATTAAATAAACAATTTGCACGACAAGAAAAATTAGGAATAAAACGGGAATAGTACTGAAGAGCACCCACTAGTGAACGTAGTTCCGTAAGATTTTTTGGAGACGGTGCATTTGTCAGTGGAGCTAGTCGTTTCATATCTGGTCTAAAACCATTACCATCAACTAGGTATCCAAGACATTCAAAACTAGATACACTAAATGAACACTTATTTGGATTTACTGTAATATTCTTCTCAATTAAACGACGCAATAAGGCAATAAGTCTCTGGTCATGAGCTCCCTTATCAGCACCATGAACAATCAGATCATCTTGATAAACTTCAACACCTTCAAGATCACTAACCACCTTATTCATAACTTCCTGGAATATGGCTGGAGAACAACTTAGCCCAAATGGAAGGAAATTGTATTTAAACAGACCAAAAGGAGTATTAATTGTCGTCAAAATAGATGAGGATTGATCTAAAGGGATTTGAAGATAAGCATCTTTTAGGTCAACTTTCGAGAACACTTTAGAACCATGAAGTCGATTTAGGATATCTTCAGCCTCTACTGTAGTGCATGTCTGCTTCAATAAACGGGAGTTCAAGGTTAGTCTATAGTCACCACATATCCTAGGAGTCTTGCCATCCGATTTCAGTGGCGTAACAATAGGAGTACCCCATGCTGAAGACTGAACAGGTTCAATTACACCTTTTGTACACAAATCATTCAAAGTCTTATGCACTGCATCTCGAAGACCGTAAGGAATTATTCGTCTTTTGAGAAAGACTGGTTCACCCTGTACTTGAAGTTTTATAGGCTGGATTTTCATACCTCCACTGCACTTAGCACACGTGGCTATCAAATCTTTAAGTAAAGCATCAGAATTTTCTTTAGAAACTAGGAAAGACAACTCCACTTTAAGTCTTTTCAAATTCTTTAAACCCAGTATTGAGAGTCCTGTTTCACTAACTAAAAATTCACAAGGTATGTATGAGGAATTATCATCTCTTATTAGCAATTCACAACATCCTCGTATAGGCAGTTTGTGTCCAGTAATCCCCAATATTGATACTTCAGTGGGTCGTATCACAACGTTCGGATCTAACGATTTCAAGTTCTTGAATGAAATAATGGACTCTATACTGCCTGTGTCCACAATAAAGTCATGAAATGAACCAAGCGATGTATATAGTCGCTTTTGAATATGAGCATTACCTTTCGAAATGGTAGACAAAGATAAATGATCATTAGGATCAACTGAATTATTGGAATGTAAATTACAAGCTTTAGTACTACTTGAGGCAAAATGAACAGTAGCTTTGCATACTGCTTGAATGTGTCCTATCTTACCACATCTAAAACATTTAGCATTACGAAATGTACAATAATAACGAGAATGAAGTTTTCCACATGATAAACATTTGCCAAACTTGGTCTCACCTTTTTGATTTCCTTTGTAATTCTTTTTTGAGACACCGTTCATTTTTACACGAGAATAGGAACCTCTGTTAAACGAACACAATTTTGATTGACCCTGAGATTGCTTTTCATCATGACAACTAATCAAAGTATTGGAAATCTTCATCGACTGAATATCAAGTTCATTCAACGCCTCGTAGTTAATGCACGCAGTTCTAACATCTTGAAAGGAACAGTTTGACATTCTTAACAGCTCTCTTTCCAAACTAGGTATGTTAATTCCTGCAATTAATCGGTCTCTCAGCTGCACATGAAGTTGATCACCAAAATTACATTTGACAGCCTGTTTCTGCAATTCAAGAATGAATTCCTTAACATTTTGGTCATTTTGACGAATCATCTTATGAAATTTCGCTCTTTCACGGCATTCAAAACCAGGGCACTTTACATGATTCAATAATAACTCCTTTAGCATTGCATAGGGAAGTGAAATAGGTTTTTCTGGATATGCCAAGGTTTTCAATAAGCTGTACGCTTCTTTTCCGATGAATGTTAGGAAATGAGCCACAATTTTATCATCTTTGACATCTTTCCTGGTCATACTCCAGATTTCAAACCTTTCCAAATAATCTTCAAAAGCTTCAGAAGTAGAATGAATATCTAGCTGTTCCATTACAAGTTCCATCGCGACGCCACTGTGATGCTTAGAAGTATATGAATCAAGAATTAAAGAACTGCACCAACGAATGTATTGTATTTAGAATTCGAAATCAAGCATTTCACAACAACAAGAAGTTACTAGTTCATTCAAACACCACACGATCACAATAAAGAATAGATCAAAAGTTACAATTAATTATGATGCTCATCAGTATTTCCGTTTTATAGTAATGCATGCAGATGTACACATTGTTATCGATTTCAGTTTCTGACTGATTTACTTATTAATTAGTAGGTACATCATCGTCAGATGAAATTTTTCCATATGTAACATGTGAGTGAATTCACGAACTAAATATATTTTCAGTGACAAAATTAATCGAACAGTCCCATCAGAATGGAATCAATAAAATTCGTTAAGTTCAATCTATTTTACTTATTTTTATTATTAAATATATATATATATATGATTTAGATCAGCGGAAAAATGATTCGTCATTATCAAAAATAAGTGAATTATGAGTTATCACGTTTGTCTTTGAAAAGAAAACACATGAAATTTAGAAGATTAAAGGAGTAAAAGAAATGAAACCTAATCCAATAATGTAAATTAGCATACACGTAAAGAGGTTGGGAAAAATACTGCTGTATCAGTAAACTACACTATAAAAATAATAATAGGGCTAAACTAACGATATTAAATGTAATAGTCACAAAGAATAGATTACTAATAGCAGTAGGTATATTTAGGTGATAAACCACATTGATCACATTGATCACGTTGAACTAGATAGTTATTTATTGATGTCCTCCTGATTTTAAAATGATAAGATTATTGGCAGTTTCCTACTTTTTGTTAAGCATGCACGTTAACAATGTCATTTTGATATGCTTGGATTATTACTAGTTTACCTTAGTCGGGAAACGAGAGAGAGGATTCGGCGACACGACACACTACTCTAATCCGAGTGTCTCAACCCCATTGAATAAAAGAAGACTTAATATGAAGTACAACCTGTATTCTACAAACATCCAGAAAGTACGAGGTCAGAGTCCAGAAGAGAATCAGCATCCCGGACTAGGGATCCGGCTCCTAAAACGTTACGGATAATGCGTATTTATACATTTAGGTCGAATAGGAAACAGCATCGAAGTCTATGACATTGAAGGTTAAGACGACCAAAAGGAAGCAACATTAGTCAGGACGACCATAATATTGGCCAATAGTAATCGACCAAGAATTCACACTTACAAAATGATTCTTCGTAGGATATTTGGTGAATATCCTAACACTTTTGACGATGATAAATTTACAGATTGTTTTGTATGAGGGATAAAAGTGAGAATTAAGCAGCTTTACAGCACGAAAGTTCAATACGAATCTCAATACTGCCTTTTCATATGATTGCAATATATCCCAAAAACTATAATATTGATTTTCAGTCTATTAGAAATCAGTTGATACTTTTATTATCTTGCTCTATATCTCGAAACTTCTAAGTTAAACGCCTAGTTTAAAAGGAAGATTAAAAATGTTACATCGAGCAAGTGACTTTTCAATCTAACATATCGATCGCTTCTAGTTTTTTCTACTTTAAAGATTGTATTTCTATTTTCAATAATACACCTTCATATGGAACGTAGAACACTTTTCGTAGCTCGTAATCTGACTCCAATTTACACAAATTTACTGAATATTCTATCATTTAATTTCTGTAACTTATTCTTAAGCAAATCCTGTTTGTGTGATGGTGGCAATAAGAAGCCCAATACGGTTCTTTTTGCATGAATTCACTGCATCCACTTGAGTAAGTTGACATACAGTAGAATGCAAGACGTAAAAGCAAAGCAAAGCAAAGCGAAACAAAATGTAGGTCAGTGGGCCAACTCAATGAGATGAAGTTGTAGTGCCTCCACATATATTTCAGTTCTCTCACATCTAACTTGGTTAAGCCCTTTCGATTAATTTATTTAACCAAGCCATTTGTATAGCAACAACTCATATGTACCATTGGTATTTTTTATTATCTGGTTTGTATGAGCTAGTATGACTGAGCATTGCTTACGCTTACGCACTTACTCATCCTTTTCGCTTTAATGTTAATCTCTTAATATCCTCATGAACTCACATGATTTGTATCGCTTGCTTTTGACCTTGTCAATCATTCGTCGCTTTTATTCATGTGTGTGCATACCTATTTCGCTTGTCATATGTCTGTCTTATTCTTATCTGACTTTATATTCTTAGTCATACTCTATCTCTTTGAGTTGGCTCAACAGCCTTCTCCAATTCGCTCCGCTCATTCGCTTGCATTGTAATCCAAAGAGTTGGCTCTTAGCCTTCTCCTATTCGCTTCTTCAATTCGCTATGTGGTGTGCCTCGAATAAACGTATACGATACTTGGAGTTCATCTTCTGATTTATAAATCGAGCTTAAGAACACGCAGCCATCGGGCACACTACAAAGTATTACTAAGGATTCATAGTCAAACAAAAGCAAGCTATACACATGTGACAAGCGAAACAAGCAATGCACATACGCACTTAGGTCGAAAAACGACCAAGCGAATAATATACAAGATCGAAAGATGTAAATAACTCCAGAAGAATAGACTAATTAGTTTGTTCAAAAGCTGGGGCCAAGCCATGTGAGCTCAACATATCAATTACATGCTACAAACTATTAGATAAGAATTATAGAATCGAACCATTTTTAAGATTTATAATATGAAAATGGCTATTTTAATATTAAAATACTTTTTTTATGATAATAATAATGGCTTTATTTATAATAGGTATTTCTCAGTATCATTGTACAACATTGCAATATTATATTATTTTCTTTTTAACATCATTCATTTAAACGCTGATTATTGAAAAATTGAACGTTGTAAATGTCTTTTCAATGGTCAATATCTGCCATTATCGTTTTTCTCCTACCATATAGATATTAAGTGCATGAATTCCAAAATATTCGTTCAACAGGTAGGCAAGGAGAAGAATATACTAACAAGTCTAATGTATTCGTTTGAGATCGCTAATCTTTAGCTTCATACTACAGTGTAATCCCCACTTTTGATAAAACAGTGTGAACATGCTCACTTATGCTTCAAGTGAATTTAAAAACAAGACACTTCAGTGCAATAATAGCACAGGGACAAACTAACTGATCTAAATATTGTATCAGGCTATTGATTGACTAATCGACATGAAACAGTTTTAACAAAATTTAAAAGAAAAACTTGAAAATTTTAATCAATTCAATAAAGTTTTTTCAAAAAAAAAATACAAAAACAATCAATTCACTAATCGAAAGTCTTAATTTTATTAAATACACAAATGGAAATGCCTTAAAAGCTTCATATTCGTATCATAACTGGAACATAACTAAAAACAGTAAGTAGAACAAAATCATTCATGAAATGAATATATATTTTTTGCTAATAATAACAACTAACTATTGATTACATTCGAACTTGCATACTGTTTCCCTTGGAAATATTGTGTTGATTTATGAAAGATGATAAATGTGTTGTCTTTAATGCAAATCAATAATCCGGGTTTACAACCGAATAATGAAGCCGCTATATTCGTAAAGGCGAAAAAAATAGAGGAACAAGCATAAACATATGATAAAGAAAAAAAACCTTCAATTTAATCTGTTGGGTTTATTTATCTATCTATTTCAACTATGAATTTAAACAAAATTCATATTGATTGTTAAACAGTGTACATCAATGTTTCTGTAAAATAAGTTGCGCGTTTTTTTTGTTACATCGAGCGGAGAAAAGAATCAACATTGAACAGGCATGGAACAAATTACTTCATTTAAAAATTAAAAAACAGGTTTTTTTATTAAGAAAAACGATCAACTAGTGACGGGAAACCAACTTTCGAATTGACTGGTTAATGAAGCGCACATAAACTTTTGAAATTCTTATCAAAAGTTCTATGATTAATAAAAAATCATTAATTTAAATAGACTTGTAATAGACTTTTTTTCCTGATTAGCTGTAAAAATGGTGTCTAGTAATGTATGGAAATATTATAAAGATTGAAGTTATATTTTAAAGTTATTCTTTGAATATCTAGAGAGTATTTTAAATTCAGGGTGTCACGTCTAGTTAAAGTAAGTGATTGGTGAAATATTGAATCGCTGTTGAATTAAGACTAACTGTTCATGCTTTTGTGGATACTCTGATACGAATCACCTAGACATCGTTTTTTATTTGTAGTATGAAGAGAAGTAATGTAGTCTCAGAACAGCGAAATCCAAAAAGCTTTCAGAAGAAATAAGTATGTGTTTATAACTTATAGAAGAACACAGACTACTTGAGTTCATCGTCAAGAAAATTTACACTGGTTAGAGTGAAAAAATGAAAGTTTACCATTCATTTCAGTTAGGTAGATAAATCTTTAAAAATTGCGAATTTCATTGTAGAGTTTGTTCAATAACAACAATATACTATGATGTGTAAATGAAAGTTGAAAATTGATTTTTTTTTTTATTCACTGTGAAATCATCCTTTGACAAAAGGTGACCATAATATTACTGCTTTTTACAAAGCTTAGACTCTTGTAAGAACTACATAGCTAGTTTAGCCATATGTAAAACAGAATTTAAAAGAAACATGTCTCGACAAGAGTAAACATACTACTAATATTTCAGTGAGATAAGACGATTAAAACAAATACCAGAGTAGTAGAAGTAGTAACAGGAGGAGAGAGGAAAATTCAATGATTCAAGAACTAAGGGACGATAAAGAATGAATGCATCTATGCAGTTGTGAACGATTTTGTATCATATCAACCAAAATCTGTAACCACCGTTTACAATAGTCACTCAGACCGCAGTCAGGTATAGCTTAATTCAATGACTAATGACTTCACGGAATTGTGTTTTTTTGGTTTGATTCCCTCCAACTGTCTTTCAGCCTGCTCCAGCATCAGTCAACATCACCTATCAAAGTAAACAGTGATGAGGCACATCTTATTGAGATGTTACTTCAAAAAAACAAACAGTTTTACTTGAATCTCAGTAAGTATATATATATAAATAGAGAGAGAGACAAAATGAAATTGCCTCGTAGAAAAACTACACCAGGTGCTT